CTGTGCTGACAAAGCAAAACATGCTTGGGATTCTCTCTGTCTCCCTTCATCCCTGCCCTCCCCCACTTGTCTCTGTCTCTGTCTCTCTCTCTCTCTCAAAATAAATAAACCTTTAAAAAGGTTGTAAGTTAGGTTCAGGTTTTGCCTTATGTTTAGTCACAGTCACAACATTAGGAAAACATATACACATTGTATTTAATATAACCTAAACATTTACTTATTTTTTCAAAATATAACTTATTTATATACCTGTATGCAATTGCAGAGCAAAAAAAAAAAACTGGCTTATACATAGACTTATTAAAGGTGGCATCAATTTTTCTTTTCTTTTTCTGAATTATGCTGTGATTCCTGACAAAGAGAGATTTGGAAAAGAACATATCCAGCTTGTACTTGGAGCAGTTGAATTTTCAGAGGTCGGTGTGTTCCCTATGAGGTTTTATATTATTGTGTTCTCATTTTGATGAGAAGCACACACCCACACACACACATATGTATACTCTGGATAATATGAACAATAATTCTACAATCAAGTAGTGCCAAACACTAGTCTCTATATTTATGCTTGTATTTGCAGCTTTTTGTTGCCAAATAAAACCATTGTAATTGAGTTGAGAACAGTGAAAAAGAGCGGAAGTCAAATTATTAATTAATATATAAATGTTGAATTTTCTCCAAGTTCAAATGCTGTCATGGCTTGCTTTATAAATCACAGTTTCACGGTAGTTTGAAAAGACAAACATGGTAGGAAACCTTGAAAGGAGAATGAAGTAGAAGACATAAGGAAGAGAGAGAGGCACTTTCTGTGTACCCTTTTTGGTAATTTTGACATTTGAAAGCATACAACATTCTACCTATTTTTAGATATAAATTAATATAAATGGTAACTCAAAACTTGAAAGAACACTGAAATAAATGTCCTAATTGTAATTCCATTGACTACCATAAACATGCTGCAGGAAAAATAACAAACTAACCAAAATAATTTATGAGCACAGTGTTTATATACCCTCAGTCTTGAGCAAAGTATGGTGTGAAGAATCACAGGCGAATCCTGAAGTATTTTTAACAGGCATATTGATTGTACTACTGTAGGCAAAGCATTCTGAAACTGTTTTAGATGCATTAAATAATTGAATAAATGGGTAGATGGTTTGATGTTTCACTTTGGAAAAACAATATATATTGAATGGTGGAAAGGCAAGTATAAGCCCAAGAGGTATGGATTGGAATTGGATATACTAGTGTGAACTTATGCATTCTTACATATGTTTATTAGTATGTATGTATATGCATGTTTATGTATACATGTACATATGTATGTGGGTATCTATAGTTTAGATAAGTGTAAATATATGTATGTATATATGTGTGTGTGTATATATACATATACATATATATATACATATATATATATGCATTTTTTCTTAGCTCAGCTCTGTCCAATAAGGATCAAGAAGAAATGACACGTCAGTAGTAGTGAAACCACCTAGTGGCCATAACTTCTTCTCTGTTACCACTCTTCCCTAAAATGAACCAAGGCACTCTGAAGAATCTGATACCATGTCTGTGCACAATAAGTACAAGATGCTTTTGACACTTCTTGTTATGCCATAAAGTAAACAAGTACTGAAAAAAAAAAGAGTGATGGAAACTTGTTATAAGGATACAACCACCAGTGTGAAGAGATACTTACTGCCCAAACCTAGGACAATTTTAGTACCAAAATAATTATACACCTTAATGAATTATAATGCACTAAATGAATGGGAATTAATGGGTCTATAATGATAATAAATGGAGAAATGAATAATTGAAGAAAGGAGATTTCTTTCAATACAGATGACTAACTGGTCAATGTGGAAGGAATGTCAAAGTTAGAAAATAATCATTTGATAAATATTATGTTATACATTGAATTGGGCAAAATTATGAATGTATGACAAACTTAAAAATATTTTTTTAATACTTATTTTTCAAAGAGAGAGACAGAGCATGAGCAGGGAAGGGTCAGAGAGATGGGGAGACACAGAACCTGAAGCAGGCTCTAGGCTCCAAGCTGTCAGTACAGAGTCTGATGCAGGGCTCAGACCCACGAACTGTGAGGTGGTGACCTGAACTGAAGTTGGACATTCAACCTACTGAGCCACACAGGTGCCCCTAAAACAAATTTTTAATAAGTAAATATTTGCATTGTCTTAAAGTGTCTCTCCACAGATTTTTCAAGGGAAAAAAACTTGTAACTATACAATGGAAATTTAGGTACCTTTTTGATGAGGTGGTCAAAATTGACATCACCAATAAAGGATAGATGGATATGATATGTCTCCAGATGTGATAAGTTAGAAAGATACAGCATGACTATGCAGTGTACATAACATCAACTTAATCATAAGAAAACATCAGACAAACATAAAAGAGGAACATTTGGCTTAAAAAAGTGGTCTTAATTTTCCAAAGAAGACACCCAGATGTCTAACCGACCCATGAAAAGATGCTCAACATCACTCATCATCATAGAAATACAAATCGAAACTACAATGAGATACCATCTTACACTTGTCAGAATGGCTAAAATTAGCAACACTAGAAACAACAGGTGCTGTTGAGGATGCAGAGAAAAGGAAACTCTCTTGCACTGTTATTGGGAAGCAAACTACTGCAGCTACTCTAAAGAACGGTATGGAGGTTCCTCAAGAAACTAAAAATAGAACTATCGTACAATCCAGCAATTTTACTAGTAAGTATTTACCCAAAGGATATGAAAATGCAGATTCTAAGGAGTACACGCACCCCAATGTTTATAACAGCATTATCAACAATAGCTAAACTATGGAGAGAGCCCAAATGTCCACTGACTGATGAATGGATAAAGAAAATGTGGCACATATCTATATCATCTATATCTATGTCTATGTCTATTTCTATATCTATGTCTATGTCTATGTCTATGTCTATATCTATATAATGGACTATTCCTCAGCCTTCAAAAAGAATGAAATCTTGCCATTTGCAATACATGGATGGAACTAGAGTGTATTACACTAAGTGAAATGTCAATCAGAGAAAAACAAATACTATATGATTTCACTCACTGTGAAATTTGAGAAACAAAACAGATGAACATTTGGGAAGTGGGGGCAAAAACAAAATTGGGAAACAAACCACAAGAGACTCAATGATAGAGAACAAACTATGAGTTGACAGAGAGAGATGTGTGGGAAACGGGCTAGATGAGGGATGAGTACTCAGCAGGGCACTTACGATGAGCACTGGGTGTTATATGTTAAGTGATTAATCATTAAATTCTACTCCTGAAACCAATACTGCACTGTATGTTAACTAACTCAAATTTAAATTTTAAAAATGGGCCTTTACTCTTCAAAATGTCAATGTCATAAAAGATAAAAGAAAACTGCTGGAAAATTAAAGGAAATTAAAAATTAAAGGAAACTACAGAGAGATGGCAGATAGCACCATATCTGGTCTCTATTAAAGAAGGAAAATGGTATAAAAGAAATTATTAGAACTGACAAAATTGGAGTATTGATGCTAAATTAGATGTAAATATTATATCAATGTAAATTTATGAAATTGATAATTATACTGTGATTACATCTTTATTTTCATATTTAGAGGCAAAGGACTATGTAATTTATTCTCACATAATTATGTATAGATATAACTTTCCCCTTAAGACTTGTAAGAAGGGAAGAATGATCACTTTCACCAATTCTATTCAACATTGTATGCAATAGACAGTGCACTAAGGCAAGAAGAATAAATGAAAGCCATCCAGATTGGAAAATTAAAAAAATGGAACTACTAGGTGAAGTTAACACATTGGAGAGTACCAGATGTATATACTAAAATTAATTTTATCATATATACTAGCAACATAAAATTGGAAATTTAAGTTTAAAGAAATAGTATTTACAATAGCATTAAAAGATAAAGTACTTAACAAATCTGAAAACTATGTACAAGGCCTATACACCGAATACTTTTAAATTCTGATGACAAATTTTTGAAGGAAATTTAAATAAATGGAGACACATACCTCATTTATGAAATGAAACACAAGATAATATTAAGATGTCAATTTTCCTAAAATTGGACTATAAATGTAATGCAGTCTCAGGCAAAATCTTAACAGGGTTTTTTTTTTTTTTTTTATTGCTCATAGATTAAGGCTATTTGACTTTGAGACTTATTAAAAAATTACACTGTCCAATACGGTGTGATCATGGTGTAGGGTAAACAAATGGATTGATGGAATATAATAGAAATTACAGAAATGGACATACACATACGTGGTCAAATGAATTCAGAAAAGGTACAAAGTCAAAATAGAATTCTTACATTGTTCTGGAATAATTGAGTATCCATTTATTTTTTAAAAATCTTGATTTTTTTCTATATACAAAAATAAATTCAAGATAGTTTATAGAATTAAAGGGAACACCAAAACTCACAAACCACTAGAAGAAAAGGTGAGAGAAAATCTTTTTGATTTTGGGTAAAGTTTTCTTAGATGTAACACCAAATTCACAATATAGCAAAGAAATAGTTGATATATGGAACATCATCAACATTAAGAACTTTGGCTCTTTGAACAACACTGTTAAGGAAATGAAAACAGAAACCAAACATGGGGAGAAATTATTCACAAACCTCACCTCTAGCAAAGAACTTGTATTCAGAATACATAGAGAACTCTCAAAACTCAATAGTGAAACAGCAAATAACCCAATTAAAAAGAAAGAGTTTTGGGGGCACCTGGGTGGCTCAGTTGGTTAAACATCTGACTTTGGCTCACATCATGATCTCACAGTCCGTGGGTTGGAGCCTCGTGTCAGGCTCTGTGCTGACAGTTCAGAGCCTGGAGCTTGCTCTGTGTTTCCCTCTCTCTCTTTTCCTCCCCAGCTAACACTCTGTCTTTCTCTCTCAAAATAAAATAAAGACAGACAGACAGACAGACAGAAAGAAAGAAAGAAAGAGTGTTTGCTTAAGTAGCACATATACTAAAATTCTAACAATACAGAGTAGATTAGCATGGTTCTTGCACAAAGATGACACACAAATTTGTGAATGATTTCTTGTTAAAAAATTTAAAAAAAAACAAATGAGTTGAATAGACACTTTATCAAAGAATATGTATATATGTCCATGTATATATATACATATATACATATGGTAAAAAGTACATGAAAAGATGGACAACATTGTTAATCACTGGAAAAATATAAATTAGAATAACCAGATAACACTGCACACCTATTAGAAAGTCTAAAATTAAAATAGTGATGGGTTAAAATGTTGGTGAGAATGTATAACAACTGAAACTCTCATTCACTGCTGGCATAAACACCATATATAACAACTGCTTTAAAAAAGTTTTTATTTCCTTAGGAAGTTAAATATACTTTTATCATATGACCCAGTCATTTCATTTCTAGCTATTCTCTGAATAAAAATGAAAGCATGTATCTAGACTTGTTGACAAATATAATTTGTAATAATCCTAAACTGGAAACAATCCTTATCTCCAACTAAAGGTCAATGGATAACAAACTGTAGAATTGCATACAATGGAATACTACTCAGTTATAAAAAGCAATGAACTATGGACTCAGTCACCAATCTCAAAACATATGAAAATAATTATGCTGAGTGAAAGAAACCAAACCAAAAATGTATGTAATATTTGATTCTACTTTTATGAAATTCTATAAAAGGCAAATCCTTTCATGAAGGCTGAAAGCAAATAAATGGCTTTCTAGCACAGAGGGAGTAGGTAAAGTATATATAACACCTTTAGAGATATAAAACAATAAACGCACAATTGCTTTAATATTTCCAATATTAAAAAATCAAGGTGGCTGGGGTGCCTGGGTGGCTCAGTGGGTTAAGTATCTAACTCTTGATTTAGGCTCAGGTCATGATCTCATGGTTCCTGAGATCAAGCCCTGCATTGGGCTCTGCGCTGGTGACATGGAGCCTGTATGGGATTCTCTCTCTCTTTTCTCTCTGCCCCTCCTCAACTTGCATGTACTGTCTCTCAAAATACATAATCATTAGGGAAAAAACCCAAGGATTTATGCAATTAACTAAGTGAAGTCTCCTCTTAATGCATAAAAGAAAATACTTCAGAAAGACAAATTTTTAAAGAAGGGAACTGTAGATTTGAACGTTCTTTACAAACCAGTCTTTATTAAAGAATTGCTTATTGTCTTGAAACTATTGCTGAGCAACATGTCATTTTTGAAATATGGAAATTTCATAACTTTTCTACAAAATTTTTAATTAATTTGTATGCCTAAATATATTCCTAGCAAGTAACTCATTTAAGGAAAATGAATTTTTTTGAAAGTTTTTTCCTTTAAAGAAAGAAAATGATAGATATAATGAGAATATGGCCTTGTGAAAAGAGGCAGATGGTTTTAATCGCTGGGGAAGGTCTTGGAAATATATTAGTAGCCACATGTTTCATGTAGAAAATCACCTCCTTAAGATGCTCATGTTCACAAATGTGTAAAGAATAGCTCTGTGGCAGGCAGCAAAATGACTCACCAAATATGTTCCTTGAACCTGTGAATTTGCTAAATTCCAATGCAAAAGGAATTAAAGAAGTAGATGGAATTCAGGTGTCTCATCAGTGGGTTTTAAAATAGAGTGATTATCCTGATTATCTGCATGGATCCAGGGTAATCACAAGGTTTCTTAAATATGGAACAGTGAGGCAGAAGAGTTAGTGTCAGTGTAATATGATGTGAGAAAGATTCCCCAGCCATGGCTGACATTGAAGACGGAAGGAGCTACAAATCAAGTTATGAGGCAGCCTCTAGAAGCTGGAAAGTACAAAGAAAACTCTCCTTCAGAGCCTCCAGAAAAGTATAGAGCCCTAGTAACCCATCCAGTTTAGTTTGTGAGATCCATTTTGGACTCCCGATCTGCAGAACTGCAAGATAATAAATGTGTGTTGTTTAACACTAATTGTGTGGCATTTCATTACAGCAATAGAAAGCTAATACAATCTTCATACTTTCAATCTGGTATAAAAGCCTATGGCCCTGCCTGCCAGGAAATGACCATTCTGGGCTTTTATGTCACATGAATGAATGTATGGAAAGACGGTTTTCCTCAGGTCACATAATAAACTAAATATTCTCTGTGTAGTATCTATTGAGATCAAACCAGTTATCTCAATTAAAATTTATGAGCTAAGAAAAAGAGGGGGGCAAATGTGACAACCAGTATTACTTCAAAAATCCTTTAATTTGTTTAAAAAGCAGATTTATACCTTGTACTCTTCCTTAATCATTTTGATGGATTTTGTCAACAGGTGCTCTGGTGAAGGCAGAAACGAGTCTTGGATTTTAATGAAAATAAAACTTGCTGTCACTTCCCAACTGGACAGAGATCTGCTACTGTAGCAAGTACAATTTGTTTAGAACTTCCATACATGCTTCTCTTTGCCAAACATAACATTATTATTATTATTATTGTATTACTATTTTATTATTATCATTGCTACCACTACTACTACCAGTACTACCACTGATATTTTAATGCCTCAATTATCTATAGAAAGCCATAATTCTTCTTTCTTTGCAGACTTTTTACATCAAAGTAAAGAGCACCATTAAAATTCATAAAATTCTCCAATTATGTTATTAAAAATGATGAGGTTTATTTTGGCACAGTTTATGTATTTTTGAGACATTCTAAAAAGCCACAGCAAGAGAAAAAAACTATACAAGTCTCTCCACACCCACTCATCATCATTACCAAAACCTGAGTTTTTAAGTGACACTCTGAATGGAAATATATTAGCTTCTCATTCTTTTATCCAGAAGTCATGCCTAACACTGCCAATGTGTAATACATGTTCTGACCACCCTATTCTTGACCTCATATGGCACCTGTCCTCAAATGAAGTAGAAGCATTTATACAGGAACTAGAAATAGTGTGTGTCATTAGGATATGACAGCCAAAGGGTGTTTTTTTTGAAAAATGCTGTTTGTTCCAAAAAATATGCCCTTCACTATTGTAGAACTGTCTCTTGACATTTTGCTGCTAAAAAAAATTTACCAACACTAAAAAAAAGGTAATTATATAATAGAGGTGCTAAATATTGCTACAATGGCAATCCTATTATGGCACTGATATGCAAATATATCAAATTAATATGTTGTACACCTTAAATTTACATAATGTTACACGTAAAGTTCAAAAATTCAATAAATTCTTTATGTAAAAAATAGGACACATTTATGTGGTCTTTAATACTCATTGAATATTTTATATATGGGTCAATGTTTACACATATATCCAAAGAAACCAACAATTTACCAATCCCTCATGCATCTGAGCCTCAAACAATTACTTTCCTAATGAAATTTAGCTTAAAAATTTGAAATTTATTCTGTATAAGAAACCAATTGGTCTAGGCAAACTAGACTTATTACACTTTTTCAAAGAGGTTAAGAATTTAAGATCATTTGTGTGTTTTCTCTTGATTTGATAATTATATCAGTGTTTGAAATCTCTCATTACTATCTCTTATCCTTTATCATCATATTTACTTGGTAGAAATGTCAGTGTAACAAGATTTTAATGAGTTTGGTTAAACTTTCTCTCTCCCTTTTTTTTTTTTCTTTTGGAGTTTATTTATTTATTTTGAGATAGAGAAGTGTGGGGGACAGAGAGAGAAAGAGAGAGAGGGAGAGAGAGAATCCCAAGCAGTCTCTGCACTGTCAGAATAGAGCCCAATGTAAGACTCAAACTCATGAACTGTAAGATCATGCCCTGAGCCAAAGTCAAGGGTCAGATGCTTAACTGATTGAACCACCCAGGTGCCCCAGAACTTTCTCATTCTATTCTGACCAAGATAGCCATATTGAATGATATATAAAGTCACAGTTAGTACCTTCTACAGCTCATACCCTCCTTGAGCCATAATGAAAAATTCTACGGTAAAATTAGACTGAAGAAAAGTAGACTTTTTGTGCTTATACTAATGAATATGATAACAAATTAAATGAAATTATCCAAAAAGTGAAAAAAAAAATATTGTATCAGTGGTTGAGATCTATGTTGAAAAGAAATAACATATAATATCAAATAACACTACTTTCACTACATCAGTCAGTTCCTTCCCCATGTCAATAAAATATATTCAGTTTTTTTTTCTTTTGTAACTAATTTCATTTTAATGCCAGCTAATCCCATATCTACAAGTTTTCCATAAGTAAAGGGAAAGATAAAAAATGAAAGAGTTAACTTTTATTGGGGAATATTTCTGAAAGATTTCTCAACCAATGAAAGATAATTCAGCTCAAAGTTAGAAAGGAAAATATAACAATCAAGTAACTGGCAGTTGTCCACAGGGAAAGATTGTTCATGAGCCGGCAGGACTGGAACGTTTAGAGAGATGGAAGCTGTGGGTGGAAAGTCACTGCCTACAGTAAATAAAGTGGGTTTTGGCACTGCTTTAAACTTGATGTGGAATCCTCTGTCTGTACACTTTTGTCTTCCCAGACACTCAGTCTCACTGAGGGCAGCAGAGTGAAGGTGGGGGAAGGGAAACCAGTTGCAGCAATATCCTTTGGACTTGCCAGCTCCCTGGAGGGGATTGTTAGAGGCCCAGCTGAGTCTCATCACAGTCATGGAAAAAAAGCCCTCAGTCAATGGTCTGATCCTGGGAACTATTCCTGAGAGAATCAAAATGGCCTCCATCCTGACAGGCTTACTTTGTTGTGAATATTTTGTGTTATATGCTTTACAGCCCTATAAATACATACTTTTTTAATCATATTTTATCAAAATCGATACACACTCCATTTAATTTTGAAATAATATTGAAAAATACTGTTAACAAATGGGCATTTGTTGATTTCTTGTCACTGGAAATTAGTGTATTAAACATTGAATTTCTTATACCCAAAGGACACTGGAAAGTTTAGGCCTTATCTAGATGTTAAACAATTCATTAGAAAAATGGCTTACTGGATCATGCTTAATAATATCTTGGGAAATAGGAGAACTAAGATGTACTTCATAAAACATCTGCTTTTATTTTAGAATAAAGTGCTAATAATTAT